TGATCTCCTCTAGGACTGACTAGTTGGATCACCTTGCAATCCAAGGGATTCAATGCAGGAGTCTTCTCCAGCACCAGAGTTCAAAGGCCTCCATTCTTTGGCTCTCAGTCTTCCTTATGGTCCAACTTTCACAGCCGTCCATTGCAACTGGGGAAACCATCGCCTTGACTATACGCACTTTTGTTGGCAGGGTGATGTCTCTGCTTTTTAGTCTGCTGTCTAGGTTTGCCATCTAAATGTAGTTTTAACTGTGATTTATATAAACGAAGTTCCCCTTCACCCTCAACTACCTCAACATCCTTTCTAGCCTCTTCACCCAATTCCCTCACAGTTTTCATCCGAGCTTCCCGCCATCACTACCATGCGCCATCCTGCCGGTTGACATCCCCGTTTCAAGGTCTTAACGGTCTGCCGCAGAAAAAGAGGGGAAAGACATTTTATCGATACAGTTTATTTTATTCATTAATTTCCAGGTTGACACCGTTTCATCAGGGACAGACACGGAACAATTGCATAATCACATGTGGTTCGGATGTTTTAAAATCCCCCCCTCCTTTTTTCCCATTGAGATATCTATTTAAAAAAAGGAAATAGATCGCACGGTGAATTAGATACAGCGTTAGGGATTGTGACGGCCACGGCTATTCTGTGGCACAAATCTTCTCCACCAAAGGAGATTAGACCGCTATAGTGCTAGAATAAAAGGAATTGATGCAAATATACAGACCTCCCGTCTCTTCTTTAGAATTATGACAACATTCTCAGCTTCTGCTATCAAGACTGTTGCCGATCAGCACAGGCCAACAGATAAAAAGCAATCTACGAATCGAAAAATGTACAGGAATCGTTGAGGTGTGTGGATTTCAACTTCCAGAATTCCAGTGAAGTTGTTTTCTTGCAGATGTTCCGTCGCTGGGTAACGCCGTCACTTCTTGACGTTTGCCATCCCCATCAACACCCTCAGAGCACTGATGACGTTACCTAGTTGGGTCAGGAGACGTCTGCAAGAAAACGTCATCAAGCCCAGAGAGCACCAAGGTGACCCCCACAATGCTACTTTGTTTGAAGTGCGTTGGAGAGGTGTTTTTTTTTTTACAGATTAACAGAGTTGGATGGGACCTTGTAAGTCATCTAGTCCAATCCCCTGCCCAAGCAGGAGACCCTACACCATTTCTGACAAATGGCAGTCCGGTCTCTTCTTCAAAGCTTCCAGTGATGAAGCTCCCACAACCTCTGGTGGCCAGTTATTCCATGGGTTGATTGTTCTCACTGTCAGAAAATTCCTCCTTATTTCTAGGTTGAATCTCTCCTTGATCAACTTCCATCCATTATTCCTGGTCTGGCCTTGGGGTGCCTTGGAAAATAGCTTGACTCCCCTCTCCTCTCTGTGGCAGCCCCTCAAATGCTGAGGGGAGGAAGTCAAGCTATTTTCCAAGGCACCCGAAGGCCAGACGAGGAATAATGGATGGAAACCGAACAAGGAGAGATTCAACCTGGAAATAAGGAGGGATTTTCTGACAGGGAGAACAACCAACCCATGGTACAGCTTCGGAAGTGGTGGGAGCGTCATCCCTGGAAGCTTTCAAGAAGAGATTGGGGTCTGAGATCAACACGGCTGCTTAAAACAAGACAGCTTAACTGCACCTGAATAATCCCCTTCTCAACATTACATTACAGTTTGGTACCCTTGATTGATCCCAGAAAGAAGTGGGATCACACAAGCAGAAAAGTCCGCAAGTGAGGGGGAAAAAAACAGAAACCAAGAGGCAATATAGGATAAAAGGGGCTGCAACTTGGCCAGTTTATTTGCAAAGTTGCTTGGATTTATTTTATTTTTATTTTTTTAACTACCTCCCTGTGCAGATACTCTTGAAAGGAGAGGAGCTAACATTTTGCAAGGAAGACGGAGCAAAGAGTTAGCTGCTCGGCTGCTCCCAAAGCAAAATGAATCTTCTTTTAAAACCTAGAAAAAGTAGACTGGATCAATTCGGAAAGCAAAAGATACGTTGTCTAGCTGTTTTTCCTAACCACGTATGTGTTAGGCCTGCAGTTATATCCCTTTTGGGATCTTTGGCCTGCCACACACTCTCTTATTTCATTATGCTGTTTCACTAGTGTAGTAAGTTGGGAGGGGGGAATAGAAAGGAGTAGAATGGTGGAATGTGTTGTTGTCATTCTTTTCTAGAAGCCCAAGGTCATCTTTTGTCTCCGCACCTCTGTACCTGACCGGAACCAGCTGAACGGAGATGCCAGCGTGGAAGAAGAAGATTGGACCATGTGATGGATTTCTAGGTATTTGGGACAAGATCATGAACTTTC